GCCAAGATAGCATATTCATTTGGCCATGAAGGAAGGGGGTCTTTTTTCCCCCTAAGGCCCATTGTGTACAATTAGTTCCACCCTGTAACCTAATAAATGGACTGAAGAATAGCTTCTGGCATCAATTCCTGATACTGAAGCAGTGAAAAAACATGAACAAAACTTGGAACATTCACAAATCCAACTGTATGGCTGAATCCATGTGACGTTGCAAGAGGTATCATTTCTTTGTCAAAGGAGCAGAATTTATATTTTCAGGATATATTCTCTATATATATAAAACTATGCTGACAATGGAAAAGATTAAAGTAGCCTACATGTAACATGGCATTTCTAGAGAAGTCAAGGAAAGATGTACTTTAAGACTCCAAAGAAAGTAAACTATATTATTTGTGTGGAAACCAGGGAGACCAATATTAGAATTAGATAGTCTTAGTCTATTTCCATCAACTTTTTGCTTCTCATCAGTATACATTTTGGATGTAAATGGCATTTGAAATGTTCCACTGCTGGAAAGTTGAACTGTGAGTGACTGCAAACTAGTAGTGGCTCCAGAGAACATATCTATTTCCTCTTAGCAGAAAGGACTACAGGGATAGAAGTTGAGTATCTTGTTTAAGTGGGTCACTGAATCTGTTTTCTTTTGTTTGCCTGTTTTTCTTTATTATAAGAGACAGTGCTGGTAAATATCCAGTTGGGAAGTATAGCTGGACAGGATAGGAAGTAGTCAGAAATGTCTGTGATGTAAAAACAAAAGGCATCAATAAAATTTCATTTTAAATCATCACTATCTTCTCTTTCTGATGCTCTTTGTACTCTTAGCACTTCCAAGACTTTTCTTCTCAAGTTATTAAATTTCCGTAGGGCATGACACAGGAATTTAAACTCTCAGCTATTCATGCCAATGGACAAGAGTAGTGACACTGATAGCCTAAAACAGAGGGTAATGCAAAAATCATTTGTATTGGGCTATGGAATGCAGCTTTACCCCTTACATTAACATTTCCCTAGAAAGATGTTAAAATGTCTGTAGTTCATGTCCCCATGTAAGGGCTAGGAGTTGATGAAAGATGGTTTGGGAGTGTACTGAGATAAGAGAGACTTGCCTAGTCTTAAAAGTCCACAAAATATGTTCTAAAAATTGGATATTCCATATGTAGATAAATTGGGAACTGTAGAATATGCAAGTTGTTATTAAAGTCCAGACAAACTCATGGAACTATGTAGTGAGGAATACAGAATGCTAATTTGGCTGTGCCTGGTGCAATAATAAAAAAGTAAAACAAATCACTTCCTGCTCTAAATCCTATGATCCTATGATTCTATGACTTCTGAATTCAAAATAATTAGCTGCCTACATACTAGTCCCAGTTTAGCTTTTCACCACAGGGATAAAATAAATAAATCAAGCTAGCTTCCTAATAGTATCAATTTAAAGAAAACTCAGATTTATCAGAAGACACTTTTTAAAAGCAGTTCTGCTTAAAGTCAAGTTCTGGAAAATGTTTCAGAGGAAGCATGTAAGACTTATCCCCTAGAGTCCAGAGAAAGGGTGTGCCAAAGAAATCTGACATAATAGGATTTCTCCATCCTTTAACACTTAGGAGAGGATTTAGAATGAAAGAGGTCAATTATGCCTTATCTAGAGCTAAAAGCTTTGAAACTTTCCCAAAGCCATAGAAATGCTGATTGATTTAATAGTTAAAATTCTGATGCATCATCTGGTCCTTCAGAAATTAATAGCTACAAATTTAAAATAATTTTAAAAGTATTTTCTTTGGTCCCATAGGTTCTTGCAGATAAATCTTTTTTTTTTTTGTTTTGTTTTTGATGAGGCAATCGGGTTAAGTGACTTGCCCAGGGTCACACAGCTAGTAAGTGTCAAGTGTCTGAGGGCCGCATTTGAATTCAGGTCCCCCTGACTCCAAGGCCAGAGCTTTATCCACTGCACCATCTAGCTGCCCCTAAATCTTTTTTCTTAACAGGTCAGATTACTCCATTCCTCAAAACCCTTTTACATGAATAAAATCCAAATTTCTCAGCTTGGCATTCAAGGCCCTCTGCAAACTGAAGCCAATTTAACTTTGCAGTTTTATCTTGTACTATTCCTCTCTTGTATTCTATTTTCTAGACAAACTGGACTGTTCCATGAACACATTACACGCTTTTCTCTATACCTCAGCCTCATAGTTTCCTATGAATAGAATCTTCACATCACCACAAATATAGCTATGGTACAGTGGAAAAAACTCAGGACCTGGAATCCTAAGATCTGGATTTGCTCTATCCTAGCTGTGTGACCTTGAGGAAGTCATTTACCTTCTCAGAGCCTCAAGTTCACTGATGGAAAAATGGAGATAATGATATCTACATAGGGTTCTGAGAAAAGCACTTTTTAAACCATAAAGCCCCATATGAATGAGTTATTATTTATTCCTGTTGAAATCCCACCCATCCTTTAAGACTCAGCTCAGTGCTACCTCCTCCATGGACCTTCCTGTTTCTAAAAGTCAAAAGTTGTCTTTCCTTCCTTGTAACTTTATTAAACTTATTTTGGTACCTCCCATACACTTACTATGTTTATTCTGTGTAGTTATTTTTGTAGTTGTATTACCTCCACACTAGGTTTTCAGGGCAGTGTCTTATTTATCTTTATAAATTGCTTAGCAGAGGGCTTTGCTCCATAGTAAGCACTTAATGTTTGTCCAGTTAAACTGGGGAACTGAATTCAATGTTTTTTACTCTAGTAGCAATACAATACAATTAAGCTAAGAGGGAAATCAAGAAGTCATCTGGTACTTAGTATTCTGTGGGCCAGGATTTAGAAATCTGGGGAAAACTGAATGAAAAGCTGAATCAATCTCCATGATGATGGGATACATGAATACACACACAGCTGTAGTCACTTTTCTGCATGCTAGGAACCATAATGTACCGCTCAGTGCTTATTATATGTATTGTGGAAATTTGACAAATAGAAAAATCACTGTTCTGGTTAATCCACTTTAGGCCCTACAATATCTATCCAGGGGTGCGGAACCTTCAGCCTCAAGGCCACATATGGCCCTGTAGGTCCTCAAGTGCAGCCCTCTGACTGAATCCTAACTTCACAAAATCCCCTTAATAAAAGGATTTGTTCTGTAAAACTTGGACTCAGTCAAAGGGCTGCACCCAATGACCTAGAAAACCATAGGTGGCCTCAAGGCTGCAGGTTCCCCACCCCTGATCGTCTCCCTATTACCAGACAGTATGCCTTTTTTAATGCAGCCCAAAACTGCATTAGCATTTTTTGGGTGCCACATTAAACTGCTGACTCATACTGAACCTGTAATATGCTTATTTTTCAGATGGTCTAACTCTGTTTCTCCCATCTTGTACTAATGAAAGTAAATTTTTTAAGCCGAAGTATAAGACTACACTTATTCCTATAGCATTTTATCTTCGATTCAGTCCAATGTTCCAGCCTTTTTTAATTCTATTAATCCAGTATACTAGCTCTCCTCAGCTCGGCATCATCTACAGATATAAGCACATTATCTGTGCCCTGATATGTTTAATAAATTAAATAGAACTGGTACAAACAGTTCCTTAAGGCACTCCACTGGAGGCCTTCTTTGCCAATTGATTCTGCTTCCTCATCTATTAAATGAGACCAATACAATTTGTACAATCCATCTCAGAAGAGTGTTCTGAGTAAACATCTAATGGTATAGAAATATTTGCTATTATTAGTAGTAATAAAAACAGAAGCAGCAATCTTATGCACCTAGGCTACAGGATATTTTCCCCATAGTAAACACTGTGGCAGCATGGTAAAGCAGATTGATACTGGTCTTGAGGGATACCTAAGTAGCTCAGTGGATAGAGCAACTGCCCAGGAGTCAGGAAGACCCATCTTCCTGAGTTCAAATCTGGACTCAAGACACTTACTAGCCGTGTGCCCTTGGGAAAATCACTGAACCCTGTTTGCTTCAGTTTCCTCATCTGTAAAATGAGCTGGAGAAGGAAATGACAAATCACTGCATCTCTGCCAAGAAAAGCCCAAGCGGGCTCATGAAGAGTCTGACAGGATTGAAAAATGATTGACTGAATTGATCTTGAAGTCTATAAGACCTGGGTTTAAGTGCTGACTCTCTCCACCCTCCTTTCAAAACCCATTCTTGAGAAATCATCAGCTTAAAAGTGATTCCTTCCAAGTTACAAAGCTCCCATAAAAAGTAAGTTCTTTGAGAGCAGTTTTTTGCTTTTTTCTGATCTCTGTATCCCTAGAGCCAAGCACAGTCCCTGGCACATGGTAGGGATTCCATGTTTGTTTACAGTTTGACTGATAAAACTGCAATTCTGGATTGTCACTTTCTGGAAGATGCTTTGATACATCTCCAAAGAAATGTGAGGCCCTGAGTTATCTGGGGGTACTGTCTTACCTGAATAATGTAATAGCTAGTAAGTATATGGAGCTTTGAATGTTTGTCAAGCAATCCACAACCCTGGGAGGTAAGTGCTATTATTATCCTTAAGAGAGGTTAAGTCACTTGCCCCAGGGCCACATAGAGAGCGAGTCTGAATTTGAACTCAGGCTCCTATCCACAGCGCCACCTAGCTGCCTCAAATCAAACCTAAGTCTCCTTTCCCGGTTAGCTCCCACATCTTCCCGTTTCCTCCACCCACAGCGGGGGGCTCATTCCCCAGGGCTCCCAGTCCTCGTCCACACATCGCACGCGACTCGTCTAAAAATAGTTACGAAAGGTCAGGGAGGGGTCACAAGCCTCAGCCGCCCGCCCCTCCCTTCCACAGATGCGCAGGACACACGCCCGCTCTAACACATGCCTCAGGCCCAGGAGAGTATCCGGTACCCTCCCCACGGCCCCCCGGAAGCGCCAAGCGTGGGAGCTTCCGACCCCCGCATCTCCCTCAGAACGGCCCGAACCTCTTCTTCCTTCCAGGCCCGGTCTGACGCACTTCCGGCGGATGTCGGGCGGGGCGCGGGAGGGGGGAGACGGGCTCGCAGCGGAAACGGAAATGGACGGCGGAGCCGACGAGGACGAGGACGAGGACGTGTTTTAGCGCGGTGGCGGTGGGCAGGCGGATCGAAGATGGTGAGTGTAGGGAGTACGCCGCGCTGGGAGAACCCCGAGTCTCCCGAACGGGTTGGGACAGTGGTCAGGGCTTCGGCGGCTCTACTCTTCATACCCGTCCCGAGGTACCGCGGGATGGGGCCGGGACTCGGCGCGCGGTCTCTGCCGAGTCATGGGGAGGAGGAGGAGGAGCAGCAGCAGCAGTGGTGCAGGCCTTGGCCTTGGCACGACCTGGGCTTTCCTCTCCCTGTCGGCCTCCCTTTCGGAGCGTCCGGCCTCAATCTGAAAAGACTAGGCCGATAGTAAAATGGGAGGCTGCTAGGTGGCGCAGTGAATGGAGCGCCGGGCCTCGAGTCAGAAAGCCCAAGTTCAAATCCAGTCTCTGACAGTAGCAGTATGACCCTGAACGAGTCACTGGGCCCCTATTTTCCTCAATTTCCTTCTCTGTAAAATGAGGATAATGATAGCACTTACCCCCTAGAATGACCCAGAGCAAGTCATTTAACCCCTTTTTGCCTCAGTTTCTAATGGTGTAAAATGAAGATGATAATGATCGCACCTACTTCCCAGGGTTGTTGCAAGGATCCAATGAGATCCAATTGTAAAGCGCTTACCATAGTGCCTAACACATAGTAAACTTACGGGTTATGTTAGCTATGTTATTGTTATTATTATTAAATATTCTCTAATTTTTTTTCTTAGAGGGTGGAGAAGAGATCCTTTTCTCCCAAACTCTTCAACAACATCCTCCTTAATGGTTATGATGGTAGAGAGGAAGGGGAATTTTGAAGAAATAGAATAATATTTGATGATTGACTGAGGAATGAAAGGGAGGGGTGTGCTGGGTTAACTTGGGAGAAGAATGTCATCCATAGAGGAGTTCGATGACTCCTGGTGATGGGGAGCCATTGAAGGTCATTGAGCAGGATGTCCATTAAAAAACTTACCTGCATTTTTCAGTTTTTATATTGAGATGTTTTTGTGAATGCTAGAAATTACTAAGCTGTATAAGGGAGGAAGGATAGTATATCAAAAACTGGATTTAGGGTAAAAGAAAAAAATAAGCATAGACTCAAATCCTGCTTCTAACACGTAATAGCTGTATGATCTTGAGCAAGTCATTTATCTTCTCACTGTTCCAGACAACAAAGATTTGTAAGTTACTAACAAGTTGCCATCTTTTTTCCTTGAGGAAATTATACATTAGGACATCACAGATCTGATCAAAAAAAAAAAAAAACAGCTTGCAATGACCAATTTATAAAACATTAAGTACTATTAATGTGATTTATCTGGTTTCTAAATCCATAGGATTTGACATATACAAAGTAGTAACATAACTAATAAAATAGGTATAATAGGAACTATTAGATTAATGATACTAACCAGACAATCCAGTTTACTAATGGTTTCAAAATTTTTTCTGCAGAAATAACATGTACATACTTAAGCAACAAATAATTTGAAGATAAATTTTACATTACTGCCTGTAATGAAAATTAATTATATCAACATTATAGTTTTACATATTTTATAGTACAATATATCTACTAGTCATCTTTTTTTTTTAAACCAGTTAGTACCTTAACCTTTTTAGAAACTGAACATATAAACTTACTCATTGCTAATTTGGTAACAACTAACCATTTTCATTTTGTAGAATACCAGAGGACTTGGATCTCAGCTAAAGGACAGTATTTCAGTTTCTGAACTTTCAGCTAGTGCTCCTTTTGGAAACCATGATATTCTTCGGAGAGGGTATGTCAGTACTATTAAGATTGTCTTTATTGTAATGAAATTATTAAGTGAGAACCCCAATAAGAATAAGAAGTTTGGAGTTCAGGCCAAGAGGAAATGGAAAGGAAGAAATGACTGAGAGAGGTATTACTCAGGAATTTTTTTTTAAGTGAATTAAAAGATATAATTTATTTTTCCAACTAATTTTTTATTAATTTATTTTGATTTATCAACAATCACTTTCATAAGCTTTTGAGTTTTAAGACAGCATGCAATCTGATATAGGCTATACGTATACATTCCTGTTAAACATATTTTCACATTAGTGATGTTGTGAGGATTAGAACCAATAGGAGGAACCACAAGAAAGAGAAAACAACAAAACAGAAGAAAACATAAGCAAATAGTATGCTTCGATCTGCTTTCAAACTCCATAGTTCTTTATTTGGATGTGGATTGCATTTTCCATCATGTGACCTTTGGAGATGTCTTAGATCCTTGCATTGCTGAGAAGGGCTAAGTCTATCAAAGTCAGCACAATGTGGCTGTTGCTGTATACAGCGTTCTTCTGGTTCTGCTCACTTCACTCAGCATCAGACCATACAAATCTTTCCAGGTTTTTCTGAAGTCCGCCTGCTCATCATTTCTTATAGCACAATAGTATTCCATTACATTCATATACCACAACTTGTTCAGCCATTCCCTAATTGATGGGCATTTTCTCAATTTCCAATTCTTTGCAACCACAAAAAGAGGTGCTACAAATATTTTTATACATGTCAGTCCTTTTCCCATTTGTATGATCTCTTTGGGATACAACCCTGGAAGTGCCATTGCTGGGTCAAAGGGACTAAGGAAGTTTTTAAAGGGCTTTAGCATTGACTGCATGGTTATAAGTAGGAGGAGAGCAAAGGATGACTCAAGTTTTGAGCCTGGTTGATTGGAAGAATAATGGCACTACAAATGGAACAGTCCAAGGGCAAGTAAGTTAGTCATTTATAGCACATATAAAATGAGTCTTGTGTGTCTTGGTTGTAGTTAACTCTTGACTTTCCATTTATATGGAAAGAAAAAATGTAAAATTTACCTGGTGTGGGCAACCAGAGATGCCCTATTCTGTAGTAATGGAGTTACATATTGTTGTAGCAAGAAATAACTCCAGGCCTTTGGAATTTTTCCACATGGTTTAGTGTGAAGATGGGAAAAATACATTTTAAAATATGTAGACCTTTATAGAATTCGGAAGCTTAATCAATTTCTTATCTGAAATAATGTTATAACTAAATATTTTTTGCAAGATGTCAGATCACCTTTAGGAAACTGAAAATTGTTTTGTGCATTCATATTATGCATTCATAAGTCCTCTTAGAACCAATGAAGGGGAAGTCTTGTATCTTAGTTTAAGTTCTTTCCCTGTGGTGAATGTGTTTAACCTTCAGAAATGTACCTTAAAAGTAACTAAATTAAATGTTATTTTAAATTTTGCATGCTGACTGGTTTAATCTCTTTTTTATATTTTCAGTTTTTCTTGTGTCAAAAATGAACTTTTGCCAAGTCATCCTCTTGAATTATCAGAAAAAAATGTAAGTATGTAGATGAATTTATGATTCTTTTATTCTTATCCCATAAATTAAAAATTCACCTGCTAACATTTAACTTATTATTTAATTCTATTAAAACATTTCCACTGACATTTATTAGGTACTTACTATGTGATAAATAATGTGCTAAGCACTGGTAATACAAAGAAAGACAAAAACACAAGTCACTATCTTCACGGAACTCACATTCAAGGGAGTAGGAGGAGGGCATATTAAATAACTGTATACATGTAAGATATATACAGAGTAGATGGAAAATAATCACAGAAAGCACTAATGGGGGTGCAGGATAGGAATACAGGGATAGATCAGGAAAAGCTGCTTGTACAAGGTAGGATTTGATCTGAGTCTTGAAGAAACTAGGGTAGCTAAGAGGCAGAGGGAAAAGGCAGAGTATTCCAGGCCTGGGGGACAGCATAGAGGTGGGGGTTAGTGTTGTGCGTGAGGAAAAAAAAATACCAAATTAGGTGGATTGTAATGTGCATAGAGGGGTGGAAAGATTGAAGAGCTTTAAATGCCAAACAAGAGTTTATATTTAGTCCTAAAGGTACTAAAGATTACTGGTGCTTGTTGAGCTAGGATAGAGTGATATGGTCAGACCTGTGCTTTAGGAAGAATCACTTTGGCAGCAGAAGAGTGGATGGTTTGCAGTGGGAAGAGGCTTGAGGAAGGAAGACTAATTAATTAGAATGCTGTTGTAGTAGTCTAGGTGAGAGGTGGTACAGGCCAGTGTGAGACCCTATACTAGCTGTGTGAGTGGAGAGAAGGCAACATATACAAAAGATGTTATAAAGGTAGAAATGACAAGCTCTAACAACATTTGAATATATGGTGTGAGAATGTGGGGTTAAGGAGGATGGTAAAGTTGTGAGCCTGGATGCCTGGAAAAATAGTGGTTCCACCTTGACAGTAATGGTAATTTATGGAAAGAGGGAGTGTTTCAGGGGGGTATGATGATGAGTTCTATTTTGAAAATGTGGAGTTTTGAGATTGTTATGTTCAGTTCAAGATGTCAGTCAGTTGGTGATGTGGAACTCAGGAAAGAGGAGGCTGGATATGTAGATGTGGGAATCCTCTGCATAGAAGTGATCCTTAAACTCATGGGAGTTGATGAGATCACCAAATGAAGAGTATAGAGAGAGAATTAGAGAAGAGGCCCAGGTCAGAACCTTGGGGGATACCTGTGGTAAGTGGGTATGACTTGAATAAAGATGTAGCAAAATAGACTGAGAAGGAGTTGTCAAATAAGCAAGAAGAAAATAATGCCAGACTGTACATGTTAAAGATGAGAGATAAACCTAGGCCTTCTGGCTGCAACACCAGTTCTCTTATTACCTATGCTGCCGTTTCTCTGGAAATGCAAAATAAAAAATGTAACAATCTGCCTTCAAGGTGGTACTCAGGGTTTAGTCCTGCTCTTATATTTTTCCTACTCATGGTGCGTAATGTACTACCCTGAATTTGACTATCACTTTTCTGTTAATGAGACCAAAATGTATCTCTCTAGCCTTGTTTTCTTCTACTGAGGTCCTCTTACATTTCCAGCTACTTGACATCATCTCAAAGCTAGTATGTCTAAAATTGAGGTCATACATTCCCTAAAACATACCGATAATTGATGGCCAACACTGTAGCGAAAAGTCCCTTTTAATTTAGCTAGTTTGGTTCTTAAACAATGAACTTACATCCAACATTTGTAGCAATCTGTTTGGGCTTGTACTATTTTGGGATGGCCCTTGAGAACTCAGGGCCACCTCCATGCCATGATGAGGCTTTTGAAAGGGACTCTGATAAGGAACAGTATGAGCAAACAGTGCCCCACACATATCATCCACTTAGTAGATGTCTACAAAAAGACAAAAACAGTTTTGTTTTAAGGCAGTTGGGGTTAAGTGACTTGCCCAGGATCACATAGCTAGTAAGTGTCAAGTGTTTGGTCTGAGTCTGGATTTGAGCTCAGGTCCTCCTGACTTCAGAGCCAGTGCTCTATCCACTGTGCCACTGAGCTGCCCCAAAACCAGTTTCAAATAATAGAAATGTAATGCCTTGATAAAGGGCCGGTCTTTCTATGCTTTTCAGACCACACATCTGGAGTATTATGTGGAGTTTTGGTAACCACATTTTACAAACTTAAAAGAATATAACAAAAATGAAGTGATTAGGGTGGTGAAGGAGCTGGAAAACGTCACATGAAGAATAACTGAAGGAACTTGAGAAATTTGGTTTGGAAAATAGAAGACTAAAGAGGGAATGTGACAATTGTCTTCAACTGTATGAAGGAATATCATGTGATGGGAAGTAGACTATCTTATTTCAGAAATAAGAACTGGAACCCATAAGTGGAAGTTCCAGGGGACCTTCGTTTGGAAAGATCCAACAGTGGGAAAAGTAATTTTGCAAATTACTGAGCTCCTTTCACTAAGAATGCTTGGCTAGAGAGTGACTTCTGCCAAGGCTGCTATGGGAAAAATAATTAGGTAGATTATGCTAGATGATTTCTCAGTTCCCTTCAAACTTAGACTCTGTAACTTGAGCCTTCTCAGTGCAGTAGACTCCTGACTGGTCTTTTGGTCTCTGGTATCTCATCATTTGCATTCATGCTACTTGTTGTGGGAGCTCCTTCCATTGGCACAGAAAGGAACCTCTCTGTGATTTATCCACTAAATTCTAGGTAGTTGTGTGAGGCATAGTTAAGTTAAATGACATGTCCAGAATCACATAGTGAGTGTGAGAGATGATACTGGAATCTGACCACTCCTGATTCTGAGCTTACCCCTGTGTATTGTACCATGATTCCTCTACATATATGAATGTATACATATAAGAGACTGTTATAGCTCTGTTTTTGTTATTATGTTGTGACTCTTCCCAATTTGATTGTAAGCTTGTTGAGTGCAGATATTTTATATGTCTTGGGGGGGGCAGTTGGGGTTAATCACACAGTAAGTTTATGTGTCTGAGGCCGAATTTGAACTAAGGTCCTCCTGACTCCAGGGGTGGTGCTCTATCCACTGCATCACCTAGCTGCCCCTTATTTATTTATATGTGTCTTAACTGTACTCTGTATCTCTTAGCACAACACTACATATATTAGGTGGTGAGTAAATATTGTTTTGCTAACATCAGTTGCTAAACCTCTCCATGATAGATAAAATCCTGAAATTTTTGCAAATAAAAACCAATGTGCAAAACATTAGCAAGAGTTTTGTATTTAAAGGAATCTAGTGATTGTCTTATAAAGAAAAAATGAATTCCCTTAAATTAGAACCTGTGACCCTCATTATTTTAGAAACCCAAAAGATTCCCTTTAGACTCATCTTTCACAATTGTGGTATATCCCATTTTAGAATTTTAAAGACCAAACATTGTTTTGGCCTTTACTTTGTTTCTTTGGGTTCCCATATAATTTCCCAAGGAGGCAATAATCGTTGTGACTGTATTTTTTTCATAAAAAAATGCTTTGTCCAGGATGCTGAATATCAATTGGTTATACAAATTTTCTGATGTTATTGTAGAATCAAAATTGATAACATGGGAACATTTTACTTGAACAATTTTGTTTTTCCAAAATTCATCTGAGCCTTTAATCCATTTCTGGATGTGACAGACTGATTCTGTTTCAATGAATGCATATTTGTAAAATCCCTGAACTAGAGAACCCACTGCATTAACTTTTGTTCTGTTAATGTCTTTCTATTTTGTCTTTGTAGTATGCTTGGCAAATAGTAGGTATTTAATAATTGCTTGGTGAATAGATGAATAAATGAAAGAATGAATGTTTCTGAAACTAGTAGAAATTTCTTTATGTAATTATCATTTGTATTTGTTCAAGAGCAGGTCAAGAAAACAAGTTACTATTTGAAAAAGACATGTGTAGTCTTTTTACACTGCTTCAAAAAATTAGCTAACATTTTGACATAGTTAAATAGATACGGTATATCCTTTAGTGAAATTGTCGTTTATTTTACTACTTAGAATCTAATTTTATTTTTTCCTCTCGATGTAACTTTTACTAAATATCATACTTATTTTTGGTGGGGGGAGACACTATAGAAGTTTTTGATGACCTTTGGGCAACAGTCCTCACCTCTAAATGTAAGTCACTTACATAATGTGAATAAAACTCACAATTTACCAGCTATATAAATCACAATTTCATCTAACACCTTTGCCTAAAGTGAGACTTTACCTGCATTTATTGCCAAATATACCTACTAAATATGTGTGTGTAAAATATTTTGAAGTTTTAAGGGATTAAAATCATTATTTTAGCAATTATTTTATTTCATTTATGATGAATATGTTTAATCCAAATGAGATTTCACATGCATTCACTGATGTCTCTGGAAAGACTCAGGCAACATTTTAAAATGCCTGTCTTTTGTAGTTCCAGCTCAATCAAGATAAGATGAATTTTTCCACACTGAGAAATATCCAAGGCCTATATGCTCCCTTGAAGTTACAGATGGAATTCAAGGCAGTGAAACAGGTAGGTTTGTTTATCTCGTGAGTGGATTTTCTGCTCTAGTTATTCTGTGAAAAAATTGAGAATTTAGTTATTTTACCTCCAACGTGCATTTCTTCCATGAACAGCACAAGTAGCTTAACTGCTAAAAATAGTTATACTGGAGTTTTTGATGTTCATTCTCTATAAGATATTCTTGTTAAGTTTCAGAAACTGTGTTGGGTTCTGATATTACAACTTTCACAATCCTTGCCTTGAAGGAGCTTACATTCTGTGAGGGAGACAACCTGTGCACATATAAATATATACAGCAGAGGCACAGGCTGGTGGGGAAGAGGCACATTAACAGTTGTAGTGATTTAAAAAGATTTCATGTAGCTCTGGAACTGAGTCAAGGAAGACACCAAGGATTCTAGAAGTGGAAATGAGGAAGGAGTGCATTTCAGGCACCTGGGTACAGCAGGGGCAAAGTTGTAGAGAGGCTTACTTTTTTTCCTAAAGTTTCCACAATTCTATTTTGGCTAAGCTGCTTTCATTTTTTTCCACTAAAGATCGGTATCACTTAGCCTTTTTGGGTCTCCTTTTTCTAAGCTGTAAAATGATGGGCTTGCATTAGATGATCTCTCTGGACTCTTCCAACTCTACCAATCTGTAAGCTGCATTTTATTGTGTGGGGTGTTTGTGACCCCTAAAATAATCAAATCAGAGACTTTTTCTTAAGAAAGGCAAAAAGGAGTTTTATTGCTTTCTCATGAGAAGGGACACACCCAGCATCGCTCAAGATGGCTCCAGCCAGGGTATGCAAGGGAGTGCAGCTCAAAGCCAGTTTATATAGACTAATGTGGAACCCCCACCCACCCACTAGCTCCTCTTCCCATTGTGTGGGCTTCAGAGCTCACAGTCTAAGCACAGAAACTTTTCCCCAGCAACAAGTTTGCAAAAAGGCGCAAAACAAGGAACTGTTGGTTCAGCAGGAAAGTAAGATAAAAGGAGGGGAGAGCCGGAAAGTCTGGACAAACAAAGTACTTTCGGGGACATCGCCTGATGTATTCCCTTTTCTTGTTTACATATTTGTATAAACCAATAAACCAAGAAATCAATTAATTAATAACCTAATCTCCCCCTGTTCTGTTTTCTTATCAATTCTGTGGGAACCAGACTGTCAGCATTTCTCACAATTCCCCCATTTTTTTTTTATAAGAATTTGGTTCCCACACCTTCCCAATTTCCTTATCCTCTAATCTCCTTAACATAATTTCAAATTCTCCATCACTGGGGAAAGTCTCATTGGTACTTTGAATCATCATCCTTGTATTGCCAGAGCCTGCCCTCTGAACTCCCACTGTGGGTCCTACTGGGATAATCTTTAGTGAGATTATCAATCCTTGTACTAGTCCCTTATTGCATGGAACTATACAGCATCCTACAGCAGTTAATATTCTAACCATCCCTTAATTAATTATCTAGCTCAGAGTTCTCTGGCAACTCCTCAGCTAAAGCGGTTAAACCTTGCAATGCCTTAGTGATGGTTCTATCTGGGGCTGTGCTACTGGGCAACATTTCATCAGGGGATTTGGGGACTTAATATGGGAGAAGGTGAAAGACACATTGACAGATTAAAAAGGGGGCAGTCCCCTTATTAAGTACAGATACAGAGACCCAAAAGTAACAATAAATTGTCCATTTAAAGCTTCAGAAGTCTCTTCTCATACAGCTGACTGACATTCTGGACATCATCTGGTGAAGTCCTCTGGTCCAAGTGCCGTTCAGACAGTGTCCAGCAGACTCTCCTCCAGCAGAGATCCTCCTCCTTGTGTTCTCTCTGTCCTACAAGATTGATCTTAACACGATTTTAAATTATCTTGCCAATAACCAGGGCGAATAATGAAAGTTAACTCAACTCCCATGTCTCCACTATTACAAGGTCAAAATTGGAACCTTGGCCAATTGTCATATTTTAAGAAACTCAAATTAGAAAAATTAGAACCTAGCCTTAACACTCTGCATTACTTCTAGTTCCATACTTTGCATTAGTTCATTATTCATTCCTATTCATACCTATTCATATTCCCCATCAGGAGGATGAGATTCCACTAAGGAATTAATAACACACTCCAATATGTAATAGTTAATTTAAAACCAGTACATATCAAATCACCTACAAATAGATAATCCTTAATTAAAATAGATGCTTCTTTCAAGGCATTTACAAGATAAGCCATAAGCTATTCCTCTTTTAACATTAATTAATTGTAGACAACTTACAACTTTAATATTTTATTAACTACATAACAGACTAATATCCTAGTTCCACAATCTCCTGGTCTAATTATCCCCTAATGATGGGGTATGGATCCAAGCCGAGACCCTTGTCCCTTGCCCTAGAAAGAATCTGGCTCCCATCCTTCCATGGACCCCAACTCCTCATCTTCCTTTGAAAGTCCTAGCCCTACCTTTTGATCTTTTTCAGATGCCTTTCAAACTTCTTCCTTCCAGTACCCTTCATTATCTATTCCTATTGTCTATTCAATCTCTCAGACATTTCAGTCGGAATTCTTTCCTAGACCCTCTTCCCAGCTCCTCCTCTGGGCACTCAAAAGTCACCCTAGTGTATGTAAGATCCACCCTGGCCCCCACTCAACCGGGAGACTTTCTCGTGCCTGCTTGTCCTTATGGGTGTCACCTGGCCTGTATGGTTTATCTCCAACAAACTTCCCCCCTGGCTGAAAGACCTGGGCTGACCTCCTTCAAGAGGAACCCTAGTGCTGTGACACTGGAGTCCCAGCACCTCAGAACCTCCAGACCTCATAATAACCATTATGAGAAATTAAAGGATCCTGACTTATACAGGAATATGCTAGTAACAGATGTCAAGACTGAATACTTAATTCTGAAATTCTGGTCAAATAACTCAATCTTATACTTACATCTTACTATAAAGATGTTCCCGCATCAATCTATTGTTTAATAGATTCGATATTTGTGCTTACAAACTTAAGATTGTAGGAATTTGCCATGAAAGAACATAACTAAAGTAAGGGAACAATGCTTCACTAGATTCAAGTCAACTCCAGGCAGAAGTTACATATATATGACCAACTGCATTGAGCCAGGCTTAAAGTCTGCCAGGTGTCACAGTGGGGAAATGGAGTCAGGAGAATCCTACCTCAGGCATGCAGAAAAGTCGTTCTCCCGACCTTCCCATGACAACACCCTCTTGCAGCTCATAGATGCAGCTCACAAACCTCTTTGCAGGTTGCTGACTGATGTCGAAGGTCAGTAGCTCAATCAGTTCCTTGTTAACCATACCTGGAGTTAGACTCAGAATAATAGTTCATTAACAGTTCCCAGGGTCTTAAATAGCAAATTCCCCTTATCAGTATTTCAAGGTGGAAATATAGTTTAATTAGGGAACATCTCCAAAGTGAGCTCTCAGTAGTTTGCATAACTTCCTATACATGTTCTGGTTCCTAATACCATCCTGAGTAAAACCAAATTTCCATTAAGATCATAAGTTGCTACTCTAAATAAATTTGCCTCTCTGTTTCTCAAGCTTATTTATTCCTCTCTAACCATTCTTAATCTGAAAAAATGAGACACTTTCAGCACTTGAATCCTATACATATGATAAGTTCAAACAGTAATTTTAACTTGCTAGGCCATGGAGTGAATTCAGATCAAAACAGTAAGATCTTTCCTACTTATAGGTTATATGCTTTAGTATTAATCACTAGTCTTAGATCTCTGATGCTGCTTCCATTGAGACTATTTCTTCAAAAGCACCCAGTTAAGTTCAGTCCAAGGACACAACAAACCCAGGAATGAAACTCTTTAAGTTCGTAGGAGGTTTGGACATAATTTTCTTGCAAATAGAATTTTAGTAGGCTCTCTAAAAGAATATCAGAGATTCTATCAAAACAATTTTTTTCATAAAAGTATCTCCCTTTCTCAAAAACAGCTTACAATTTCCTAATTACCATAAAATTCCTAGTTACCTAAATTCTCTAGTCAAAAGGTGTCTATAAGAATTGTGAGATTTTACAAAATCTCTTTTTTTTGCATAATTACCAAGTTTCTTTTCACATGCACACACAAAATATTTTTACCAGTGCTTGACTTAATAACTCCAAATAGCTTAGTTAACAATTTTAAACTTCATTAAGTGAAAGTCAGATAATCCCAGCTAAAACTTCCCTTTAAACATAGACAAAACTTGGAAGTTCTCATTTCTTAAATTACAATACTTAAAAGGAAATGTTATAAAACAGGACCATATAGAATGCCCCAGCAGCCCTGATTCATTCCTTTTTCTCTTTTCTCTGAAGGCACAATTAATTTAACAACATTCTAGAGTATAAAAGAAATTGCCCTTCCAGCAACATAACTAATACAGTTGCTTACCAGATTACATCATATAAGAAAATTCAGAAACATGTAAGCAGTATATTAAAAACCTAAAACAGACCCAATAAAAATCTTTCTTTCTGAACCCTTTCACCAGGTCCAGCAGCCTCCAGGGGCCACTCCCACTCCTATAGACTGGCTTTTTTTTTTCTTTAATTTTCTATGCTAGCCCATCATTGTCTTTTTACTGGTCTGATAGCCTCAGGCCACATCCAGATTCTAGCTCAGTGACACTCCCAATCAAGGAATTTGGTGGATGGGGGGCCTAGGTTTCCCAGGCTTGCCAGTCCCAGCCTTAAGAGCCTAGCCCATATGGCCCACCCTCAACAAACCCAGTCTTTAGTCTAAAGAAGGCCTGGGTTAAGATTTTTTTTTTATTTTCTAATTGAGGCCCTGATATATAAGAGAATATTTCATTAATTCCAAATCAGTACATATCAAGAAGTTTTTCACAATAAAATATGTTTGTACCACAGGGCATACATTATAGAATTATTTCCACAATTGTAATAAGCTTTGAAACAACCCATTATCAATTTACTTGAATGCATCCTAAATCACTTTGCACAGAGCATCATTCATCTCGTCATTAATATGTTGAAACTATAACTTTAAACCAC